CCCCACAGGAGTGCAGGGTAGTGCCAGAGAGCTGAATTCCTCCTGGCTGAGCAGTCTGCCAGTCCTCCCTTTAAGCTTTCAGGGCTTTTTTTGTTTCTGGTGCCATTTTTAACTCCACTACTGAATACTGCCTCGCAGTTATCGCAGTTCTTCCGCACATTCTTTACCATACGGGTGCGGTGCGGAGATGGTGGAAGCCGTGGAAGCCGGGAGAGCATCTCCTGCTGATCTTTCATCCCTCATGGTACAAAAGCGCGAACCCATTACTGCCCTGGGCTAACTACTCTGACATCCATGCTCATTGGCCCCTCCTAATTCTTTTACTCATAATTACCCTTGGCCCCTGCATCATTAGCCGCATTTTTGCTGTCACTCACCAATTGATACAGCAAGCCACCACTAACAGTTTTCATCAAGCTCTCTTTCAGGCAGTACCACCAATATCAACCTGTTCAGACCCAACATGTCAACAATCCTGCCTATGACGGACTTCGTCATCTTCCTTAATGGCATTCTGGAGGACGAGTGGCTGCTGCCGGGTCCCCTGCCAATGGGCTCAGGCCACCGTAGCCCCTTTGTTACAGTAATCTCCTTTTCATGTATATAAGCTTGATGCTGAAAATAAAGACAGGGACTTTCCTGGTGAACAGACTCACGGTGTCCATCCTTTTCCTTTCAGTTTCCCTCACAGTTGTCAGCAGTCTCCCCCAGAGCCCTCCAGGCAGTCTTCCCCATAGCCCCCAAGGCAGTCTCCCCCACAGCCTCTCAGCATGTCTCCCCATCACCACAGCAGTTTTTTCCACTGCCCCTCATTAGTTTACGCCACAGCCCCTAGGCAGTCTACCCCACACCCCTTTAGGCATTCTCCCCCACGCCCCTCAGGCAGTCTCCCTCACATGGCCCCTCAGGTATTGCCCCACACCCTCCTCAGGCAGTCTCTCCCACAGCTCTTAGCAGTCTTCCCACAGCCCCTCAGCAGTCCCCCACAGCACCTCAGGCAGTCTCCCTGATAGTCCTTAGCAGTCTCTTCCACCGCCCACCAGGCAGTCTCTGCCATAGCTCCTCAGGCAGTCTCTCTCACCAATCCACAGGTAGTCTCCCCCACATTCTCCCACCGCTCTTCAGAAGGTCTCCCACACAGCCTCTCAGGCCATCACTCCACTGCCCCTCAGTCTGCCCCACGGCCCCTCAGGCAGTCTCCCCCACGGCCCCTCAGGCAGTCTCCCCCACTGCACCTCAGGTAGTCTCCCCCACTGCACCTCAGGTAGTCTCCCCCACAGCCTCTCAGCAGTTTCCCTCTCAGCCCCTCTGGCAGTCTCCCCACATCTCCTCAGGCAGTCTCTCCCACCAACCCACAGGTCGTCTCCCCCATAGTCCTCAGCAGTCTCCCCCACAGTCCCCAGGAGACTCTCCCACTGCCCTTCAGAAAATCTCCCTCACAGCCCCTCAGGCAATCTCCCCCACAGCCCCTCATTTAGTATCCCCCACTGCACCAGCTAGTCTCCCCCACAGCCTTTAGCAGTCTCCCACAACTCCCCTCAGACAGTCTCCCCCACTGACCCTCAGGCGGGCTATCTTCCTTACTGCCCAGCAGGAATGTCCCCACTGCTCAGCAGCCGTCTCCCCCACTCCCCTTTTCTTGGTGGTCGACTTCAGATCTTGCTCACAGTGTCATTTTACTGAATAGAGGGGTGCAGGGAGCTTAGGAACAAGAGCCACATCTCCTGTGTTCCTGCCTTCTGGGCATCTGAGTCCACAAGTTAAGTGCAGAAACAGAGACATGTTGGCAGTTTCAAGCATACTAGCATCTTGAAGAACTTGTAAAGCTTTTTCCAAATCTGACTTAACTTTACAGGGGTCTTTCCTAGGGACCCTTTACACCCCCTTTATCACCATGCTGTGATGCTGAACTTTTTGTTTTGAAATGAGACCATCCAGCCTGTCATGCCAGATGATCAACTCTCAGAAGTTTTATCTAAGCTTAATATTGTCTTTCTGTTACAAGGTGGCCCTAATAAGAAATGGGGTACTTGACTGTGTGTCCTCACCATGGGCTTAAAGTGACTTACAATAAGACTCAACTGCAGGCACACACAAAGGTTAATGAAGGGTTGATTTGCAAAATAAGGAGAAGTGAAGAAATGAACATTACAGGGAGATATATTGGAAAATGCGTCCTACAATTTCGGCTGACCTGGAATTCCATTGGCTGCTGAGAGCTGGGGACAGCCAAGAGCCCAGAGGCCAAGAAAGAAAGAGACCCCCAAGGCCCATATGTCTGCTTTTTTTTCTTTCATTTATGCACACAACTGGGGTACAGGCCAGAGGTACAGGAGTGGTGAGAGGATTCACCAGAGACAGAGTGGGGAGCAGAACAGGCAGATCAAAGTACACTGCTGAGGGGAGCAGCGGGCGGGTCAGGAGAGGTCTGCTGCACCACGTGGGTCACCTCTGGGGCCAGGTTCGAATTTGTGCTGGAGTGTCTATGATGGCTTCATGGCGCTGTACTTTACCCTGTTGTGCCACCAGGGAGGGCCCTCACATGTCTGGTTTATACCACACCTGGCTGCTTAGCTCCACCCTCAGGTCCCAGCATCCTCCCTTCCGAGGTGATGGGATTTGTAGTTCCCTGTGTCCGGAAGGCCTTGGTCTGGAGTGGGGTGGGGTCCATAACAGCTGTGTGGAGTTTGTTCAGGGAGTCCCTTCCCCTGACACTGTCACTGCATCACCTTCACCAGGTCAGGCCCATTCAGACATAATTTCACATCCACCCAACAGTAATCTGTCAGGCACCTTCTGTCCTTGATACAGAAAATGGTCAGGAATGCCTCATATTCCCATCTCACAGTCTTCAGCCTGCTGAGTGGAGCCCCCCAGCCCTGGCTACCCTTTACTCTCGCTTCTGTGGCCCCCACCCCCTGGGCTGCCTCTCCAACCCCACAGCCTAGGCCCAGGAAATTTGTAGCCAGACAGAGCAGACCTGGCTCCCCCAGGCCTGGGGAGGAGGACATGCAGGGAGGGGACCTCATGTTCAGCTCCAGGGGGACCTTCACAGGTCACAGAGAAGAGGAAAAGGCTGTGGCCCCTCCGTGTGAATGTTCTGGGCCCAGGTAGAGCCTAATACCACCTCAGGGCCCAGGTCTAATTCCTGCTGTGGGGGCTGCATCCTGCTCTCAGGGTCGGTGGAAACCACGCGGAGCTTCTCCCTGCACAAGGGCTACAGGGAGGGGCTGCAGGGGTCACAGGGCCTTGGGGAGACTCTGGGGCCCCATCTGCTCCTGGAGGGACAGGGAGTCAGGGTGGCTTCTCCCTGAGCCTGAGGCAGGAGCCTCATCAGCCCCCAGAGGGGCACCGCTGTCTCCGCTCTGGGGCAGACCTGGCCAGTGGCAATTCCCCGCAAGCTGTGACCTGAGTCTGGAGGGGGTGACTGTCCCTGCAGGGCCTGTGCTGACCCCTGACACCTCCCTTCCTGCTCAGCCCTGACTCCTAATTCTGAGCAGGTGCTAATGAGTAGCCATGGGAAAACTGTCTCTGCCCAGAGACCAAGTCAGCACTGCCCATATCCTCAGGAACTAAAGAGGGGGTTGGCTTTCCTTTCACATTTCTTAAAGGAACATTATATATGTTTGTGCGTGTGTGTGTGTATGTATGTATGTATGTATGTATTATAAAGCAGCCTGTTTTTAAACATTAGTGATGGTCACCTCTCCTTTTTGAAGTCCAAGTTCGCCTCTGTCTTTGGGATTTTTTTCTATTGTGAGAGCCCAGAATGGATGCTGGTGCCCCTCAGGGCCCAGATGTCCTCCTCCTGCAGAGGGAGACTCTTCCCTTTCACTCAGGGACTCTCCAGCCACCCCAGAATGCAGGGTTCCCATAAGACAGTGTCCCCTCAGGGGTGTGTCCGAGGAGGAACCTCTCTCCCAGCGCAGGGGTCTGGTGTCCCGTCTCTCAGAGGAGCCCATGACTCAGAAGCGAGACCCCTACTTCCCATCTGTGGGACCCAGAGATTCAGTGAGGTGAGTTCCTGCCAGGAACCCCCACTGCTAGAGCCAGTGACTGAGTCAGAGTGTCGCTGACGGACACAGGATCCCAGAGCGGCTCACTTCTGTGATACGGCTCAGTTTCTCCTCTGGCACACCAGATATGCCATTATTATTGATGAATGTTACTGAAACAACCTAATTCATTATCCTCTTGTTACATTAATTTATCAGAGAAATTAGACAGCACTCGGAGAGTTGGAGAGAGATTTACTTGTCACACCGGCAAACTCAATGGGATCAGTCCCAAAAGGGCTTTATGGCCCTGGTGAGTCTTCTGGGACAGGCTTGGAAACAGGTCTCAGGTTGGCACAACATAAGTTCTCAGTCTTCTTGCAACTAGTTGGTCAGTACCTAAGTAATGGGGCCCAGCCTTTAAATGACCTCCAGGATTGCCACGCCTGCACGGCAGGGATACGAGTCTGAGCGGGGGACGTCGAGGTTGAAGAAGCAGCCCACATAGATGGTTGCAGCAAAATGTCTCTTTATTTTTCTCTCCAGCCTCCCTTTTATACCCTTAGTACCAGGGTGTTGGCCTGGGGGCCAGAGGAAGTCTCCCTCACATGCCTCACTGCAATGGGCAGATATTGATCAGGCCGCACATACAGGTGGCAGACAAAACAGGAGGTTTTTCTCCCTGTTATGATCTGTGACAAAACAGGATGCTTTTCTGTGCTTAAGCTCCGGGGGTGGTTGGGGAGGCTCAACCCGGCTGGGACCCAACACAGGATCAAATGGATTTTTCAATATTCTCCAGAAGCTTCGGGCTAGACCTGCTCACAGCCCCCATGTGGCTTCTACCTGCATCTGAATGTAGGCTGCTGTTCCTGTCACATCAAGTCGGGTGTTACTCAAGAGCCCTTGTGCTGATGTTCCCTCGCTCCTAGTAGGGACATCAGTGGGGGAAATGAAGCAGGAAGTTCCCAGGTCTCTTAGGATCTGCTGCTCTCCCGGCCTGCTGCTGGCGGGTCTGAGTAGTGTTTTATTATATACATATATACACATACATATATATATATAACACATATATATACACAAATACATATATGTGTGTGTTATAGCACACATATATATAGCGCACCTTTTTTTTTTATTAAAAAGTTTATTTTTACATCATTTTGCACATTTTTTTTCCATCTCAATTGTAATCCCCACGGGTTTCCCATCACCAAATCACCCCTGTGCCACCACCATAGTCCCGTGCATTT